ACTTACACATGAACCCTAAAGATTGTTGAAATACCATCAGTTTCAGAAAATGCAGTGTTTGACTTTAAGTTAGTGGCAATTGGCTTTTTCTTTTTATAAATATAGTGTGTCTAAATTTTCACATTTGTAAGGAAAAAATGCTAGACAGTTATGCTTATAAAAGTTATGTTTTCCTCGACAAAACAGTCAGGAATGTTATGTTTTTGTGGGTTTATTTGGTTTTGCTTTTTTTTTTATCTATCTAGCATGTGAGCAAGTAAATCTGAGTGAGAGGTTTATGTAGCAGCACCATCAATATGCCAGAAATTTTGCCTTGCACTGCATCTGTGTGCAGATGTGTATTAGATTATAATTTTAATTGACAATTTCAGTTGCACAGATGTCTTTAATTTGTTACCTTATGATGTTTATTTTTACCATATGTAGTGAAAATGTACTCTGCAGGAGACTTAGCAAGGGGCTTACATTTTATTTACTTCAGGAACTGATTATATTTGAGATAATAATTTAGCCACCACTCTAAAATGCAATTTCTATTTGCCTGTTACCCTCAGATATCTATATCCTTCAACAAATGAGGTCTCCCTAGAATATCAGGGTATAGTTAGAAAATTGTCAAGCAGGCACTTTTCATAATCTGAGATGCAGTAATCACATGTATAAGGAAACAATTGCAGCATTCCAATTTAGTCTTAAGGATCTGGCTCCAGGGAGCAGCATGTTGGGGCAAATGCGTGGGCTGTTTGTCAATGCTGTACATTTTGTAATCAACTTTGACTTCACCACTCAAACTAACTTTTATGTATTAATTTTAGAAAAAAACCACCTCACAATGGCTTAGGACATCTAATCTATGCCTGCAGTTCATAAGATGCAGTTTTTGTGGGATTTTTGGTTTGTTCCTTTTTCTTAATTCTCCTTAATTCTGACCATACCATGCAACCAGATTTAGTGTCAATCTGAGCTCTGATCTCTGAAATTAAAGTGTCCCTAACTGTTAATCAGTTCAAAATCTTGGCTTATATAATTAGCTCATCAGATGTTTGTACAGTATTGCAAAACTTAGAAAAACCTGGCAACTTCCAAGTAAATGGGCAAGGGGTTTTTGGGACACACCAAATAAATGGGTAAGGAGTTTTTTACATGAGGAAAGTAAAATAACTTTAAGTTCATCAGTGGGATAATAAAGCAAATACTCATATGACACATTTGTGTGAAGTGACCTTGGCTCTTGGATCAAATAGCAAATACATGTATGTCATGTTTGTCTGAATATGACCTCTCCTTGGTTCAAATATCAATCATAAATCAAACCCTAGCTTTTGATGTACATGCAGCAGGAGCAGCCTCTTAAATGATGCACCAGATCTCAGTTTCTCAGCAGTTGTGGTCTCCACGTCAGTGTTCAGCACACACGCCTTCAGCATGTGTGTCAGTATGTTCTGTCAGCTCATGGCCTGCCAGGTCTTGTCACAGAGGCTTTAGAAACTGTAGAACTTTGAAGCACAAACTATTGTGATTAACGCATGTAATCTTTTGAATCCTCAAGCATGGAATAATTTGACTGGAGTATGGCAGCGACTTGAAGTGATACTGATATTGAAATGGATTGGATGAAGAGCAAAACCTGGGGATTCATTTGGGAGAAGAAAGGAAAAAGGGGGAGTTTGTTGCAAGTGCAAAGTTGTAAATGTAACACTGGAGTGGGGTTTTCATTAGAAATGCTCTTGTGAGCTGTGAGCAGTATTGCTAGAACTGTAGTGAACTTGAAAGGCAGCTTATGGCAGAGAACACAGGCTGTAACGGAGTGGTTACTAAGATGTTTCCATGGCTTAGTTTCTTGCAGAAAATAAATTCTTATTTTCCTTTTGAATCTCTTGTTAATAAAATCTACTTTCTTCAGTGATTATGCCGCAAAAATACTGGATATTTTGAACTCCAGTATGAATATTTGCTTTAAGTGAATTAACAACTAATGTAATAAACTGAATCATCTTCCCTCGTGCTGCTATATAGGCTGATTTTTTAAAAGCCATGTTAACAGTGGTATCTTGATTCTACAGATTAAGCTGGTAGTCAGTTTGATTATAAAAATGGAAACAAGACACCATTACAAATTGAGAGGTTTTTAGGCCTTCTATGTATCTGAACTAAAAAAGTTGAAGAAAAGCAAAAGACTTTTTTAACACAAAGGCTTTCACTTGAGTCTTTGGCAGTGCTTGCTTGGGTTTGGTACCATCTAAATTTCAGACAGGATTATAATGTAGTTTAAAAAAATACAGAAAGCTAGGAACTCAAAATATGCAAAGCAACCAACAAAAAAAAGTCCCCAAAGCCCCACAGACAAACAAAAACACCGAAGCTACAAAGATGCCTCCAAAAACACTTCTTGAAGAAAATATTAAATTGAAGGAAAACATTATATGTTTTTCAATAAGCCTAAGTATAGTATTATATAGTTTGTTAATTTATATTACTGTTGACTTATACTGAAGTCCTGAGTAGACATCTCTTTAAAGAATTCACAGACAAGACACAGATTTAAAAGAGATTTGAAAGCTTTACTTTGACTTACAGCTATTTCTAACTTTAGTTTCAGTTAAACATTCACTAGACAGAAAAGTCAAGTCTTCTATTCCCAGTTACAGAAACCTCCAAAGCACTTACTTTTTGGATATGAAAACTCACATATAGAGGAGAAAAAAGCAAACCCAACAACCGTGAAATCTCAATCATGGCATTCTATGCAGACTTGAACCTATTAGAACTTGAAGGCAGTTCAAACAACACCTCAATCTCCACTCTTTACAATATGGGATTTTCCTTTTATCAGGAGGGCCTTGATGCAAATTTGAGTAATACCATGTTTGATACATCCATTCCTGTGAAGAAAGCAAGCATGATTGCAGATAGGTGTAAACTTGAGGTGATAGACCTGTAAGTCTTGTCTATGGAGCCTGAAGGCAAAGGTTGCAAAACCTTCCTGTCCCGTTGCTGATGAAACCAAATCTGGCTCGTGTTTTCAAAGGGATTGCAGGGGCTCCTTTAAACACAGGCTTCAGATCTTACTGTGCCGATACCCAGGAGCTGTGGTCTTTTGTTACGTCTGAAGCTGAGCTGTCTGATACAGGCTGACTAGTCTAATGGTGTGGATGAAATATGGTGAAATCTATTTTCTGGTCTAATATGAAGTCAGTGTAAATATAAATTGTTCTGAATGGAGTTCCAAGTTACCAGCATCTTGAGGGGCCTGTTGAATTTAAAAGTCCCCATCAGAAAGCCACTTGATGCTAGGGTGTTGTTTTATTCTTTACAAGCAGCTGAAATTTTTCTTTGAGCTAGATTCTACTCTCAGCTTGAGTTTCCAGCATTGGAACTTTCATTTCATTTTTGTTATTTATTTATTGGAGCACGTTGCATCAACTCAGTGTAAATGCCTGTATCTTCCATTTACTGGATTTTGGTGGCAGTTTTACTGCTAGAAGGTGAGTGTCTGTGGGATGTGCACATAGCAGCCTGCATGACAGTTCCATGGCCCTGCCAAAAGATGGTAATTCCCCTTAATCTAATAGAGGTGCTGTCTGATCTGTAAAGCAGTTTTCACCTCTCACAGGAGACCAAAGAGGCATTGGCTTCTTCAGGCAGAGCAAGTGCCTGGTTTGCAGACCCAGCCTCTCCACACAGGCACTGGATTCTGCAGAGGAAATTCAGGCTGCACATGCAGTTATATTTGGGCTATGCAGCGCTGTTCCCAGCTGCTTATTTCTGCTCTCTCCATTGAGCCAGCACTAGTATTTGTAAGGCTTTGCAGTGAACTGGATCAGGGAAGTGGTTGGATTGAAAAGCATCATGTTTTTAGTGTGTAATCATGGCCTCAAAGATCAGTCACAGCTCTGGAAATTCCACTGAGCTCCACTCAGCCCAAACATGTTAAGTGAGTTGTTTGACGTTAGGTGAGATTAATTACCTCTGTTATTTCTGTTTGCTGAAAATTAATTTCCTCTTTGCAGTTTTTTCTCCAGTAGCAACTGCATCTGTTGTGTGAAAGTGAGAGGATATGATATTTGAAATAAATAGCTTCATTATCTCCTGAATAGTTTTGTTGCTGCCCTGTTATTGTTACTTCTTACACAGTAATCTTGGCAAAACAAACAGTTTTTCAAACTATTTAGTGTACAATAAATGTGTTACATAAGTGAAAGAAAGCATTGGAGGAAATTGTGGATATATAATCTTGAGGTTCTAGAAAGCAGCTGAATAGTTTAAAGCAGGAAGGTCACATTTAAAAGGAGGGTTGAGTGGTCCTGTTCAGATACTGATCTGTGATATACACTAGCCAATGTCATTTGAAATCCAGTGGGACAGAAGATCCTGGGTCCAAAGAAACACAGTTTCTTAGCTCAGTAAGTTCTCCTTGTGTTTGGCTGAGTAATATAAAACAAAAAAATCATTCCTGTGTTGTTTTTATCATTTTGTCTGGGCTTAACCTCAGGAGGGAACCAAGCCCCACTTGCTCACTCCCCTGCCATGGGGCTGGGGAGAGAATTCAAATAAAGGTTGCATATAATTTTTCCTTACGTGACTTTTAAGATCCTAATTTTACAACTTTGCTGTCAATTTTCAAAATTAGGGTACATGAATTTTGATTTCTCTTAAAGGCAAGGATTCCTGTAAGTTGCATATGATATCTTGGAGTACAGCTGAGTAAAGGGAAGAAAGAAGGTTTTCTGGGTAGATTTTTTTGGAGAGGGGGTGTGTAACTGGCAGTCTTGATGAAGGGGTGGCTTGGGAAAATTTTTTATCATGTGCATAGAAAATGTTCTCTTATGTTATTAATACTTCTAAAATGAAAAATAGTATGAGCATGTAAGGTTGCAAACTATGAAAACTGAATCGTCACATGCTAGAGGAGAAAATATGCATCCTTTCCAAGGTGGAAGTCTGGATGTCACACTTTAGATACCAAATCTTATTTTCTGTTCTTTTTTGTGTTAAATCAGGAGATTGGAACATTCTGCTGCTTACATATTCAAGGCTCTTCTTATCCAGTGAAGTTTTCTAAAAATATCTATCGCAATCACGAGTTTTACATGAGCTGTTTTCAGCCCCAGCATTCCCAAAATGACCTAGAGGTAATGATTGTTTCAACTTTAACCCTGGTATTTGCAAGCAAGCCCTTTACACGATCAATTTGTTTATGCAGTAAGATCAGACTTTGTTACTGCTTCCCAGAGACCTTTGCATCTCAGAGACCTCTTTCCTTACAGGGATTATCCCTGGTGTGGCAAGTATTAAATGTGGAAGGGCTGGAGGTTTAGTATCCCTCTATCCCTTTCCAAAAATGAAGCAAGTAACTGATTGCTGCATGTTGAGGTATTTTTCTTTAATGATCTGACTGATTTCTTTGGGACCAATTTCAAGTTTATAGGTAAGTTGCTCAGTGGGTATTTACAGTGAAGTGGTAGGAAAGGACTTCTTGTGAAAATAGACATATTTCAGAGATAACAGGATGTGAGAGAGTAAAACCTGTTTAATAATTCCATGGAATGGTGTCCTTATTTTTCTATGTTCTATTCTCTTGTGTGTGTCGGTACTTGGGGGTAGGAAAGGGGCAATGAGAGACTAGAGTATTGTACGGGAAACTGAGAAAATCCTCTGCAGGTATCTTTGGGGCACAGAACTTTTGTAAATACTTAGAAGACACAGATCTTAGAGTGGAATCATCATGCTGCATCTACTACATCTACTGTTGTAACATGTACAGGGCTTTTTGTAAAGCAAAATTCTCTCTGTGAATATTAAATGAACTTCATACTCATTATACTTTTTATTTTCAAAGCTTTTTCCCATTCAAGCAAGGATCAATGCATATTATGTGAAACCTGCCAATGAAAGCATATGCATATGTAAACATGCACAGAACACCGGGAAGCCAGAAGGCAGTTTACTGCATAAATACTAGACATATTACTTAAAGATTTTCTGTGCTTATAGAAAAATTGTCAGTATTGTGAATATTAGTACATTTTGACAATGTTCAGAAATTGTTATGTTGTCGCCATGCTTGCTTAAGTGCCAGTTAATCATTGACAAGAGCTCTAATGATTAAGCAGCTGTAATTTACTTGTAGTGTTTGAAAGTACAAAAGGGTATGTAATTTGAAAATTAAAACAAGAAGCACTCCATTTATGTTTCACTAGCTATTAGGTTGTTTTTACAGAAATTTAGCTAAAAAGGTTGATAAATTTTACATACTGATTGTAAATGTGGAAAAGTATGGTGTGGTTTGGGTGATACCAGGCAGCCTTTGCATGTTCAGAGGTCAGCTCTCAAGTCTTTGCTTTCCTGACAGATAATACCTATTTTGGTCAAAGGCAGACCTCAGTGTTCTCTTGATCTTTTAAAAATACATGTGCTGGATGAAGTAGTAGCACTTGAAGAGATGTATGTGATTCAGCAGGGAACATTGGGTACAAGAAGCCCAGCACCTACCTGAACCACCCCAGCTATCCTGGGGCTGAGTGTCTGCAGAGGAATGCAGTGTTTCTGTGCTGTGAACAACTGGTTTAGCCCAGGAGAACTTCATGGAGAGCAGACTGGAGGAGCAGTGCCAATTATATGCTCTGCCATCCCTCTCTTCCTTCTGTTTATGGCTCCTTAGAGAGACAAATTTGGTAGTCTCCTTTGGGTTGCTGCAGGTTCCTCTATACTTTTCCCCCATCACAAAATAGATGCATCACACAGATAGGAATTTAACTTTATTTTCACAGATTACATACAAGTGATTTCTCATTTCTGAGTCTGAGTATGTTGTGGTTGTGTCAGGGATGTGGGTAGATAACTAAAAGCAAACAGCACAGTTAGTTCCAGGTGTTACTGGGCTTATCCATGCTGTGTGTCCAGCTCTCACCCTGCACAGTCAGTACAGGAACATCTCTGTTGTCTGTGACTGCTGTTGGAAATCATGGATAAATTCCTATATTTAGTCTCCTACATATTCCTGCTTGACATACTATGTGACAGAAATTATTTTCCTTTTTTAGTTAAAACTATCCTGTTTCAAATAAATTGCCAAATAGATCTGTACTAATGCTCTTTGTAGAATGAGATGGCAAGTTAGTAACAGTGACAACATCTCCTTTATTTTTCCTGCAGAAGAAGAGTGAGTAGAATATTGATATTTATTATAAGTTTTGATGGGAAGTGCGTAATGCCTTGTGTAGAAACACTTTTTTAGCAGTGAAGAGGAAACAACAATCTACAGACTGATCTAGTCATAACTTTCATTCATCTTGAAGTCTTATGGGGAATTTTCCCCACCCTGTGCTTTTGATGATTCATGTTGCATAAAGCTTCCAGAGCAATAGAATGTTTTATAATATTTCACCTTTGGATTAGAAATCCTGTATTCAGTGTGCTAGAACTGGTTCAAATACTTTTTAAATATCTGTTGGTTGTTTTTTTTTTAATTATTCTTTCACCAGTAAAAAGAAGTTTAAGTGACTGCTCTGCTTGATCAAAATGGTGGACACTGAAAACCAGCTCTATCCCCTTACTCCCTTGGAGGAGGAGGATATAGACAGCCCATTATCTGGAGAGTTCCTACAAGATATGGAGAACATTCAAGACCTGTCCCAGTCTCTAGGAGATGATAGTTCTGGAGCTTTAAGTTTAACAGAATTCCAGTCACTGGGAAATGGTCCAGGATCTGATGGATCAGTTATAACAGGTAAGAGAGTTTGGTTTAACATAAAACTTTATTTTATAAATAGAATGATAGAATTTAATAACTAATGCAATAATTGTTGTTTATGATGAAGTGACACTAGAAATATAACATAACATAACCTGTTTATGGCATGGTCTTAAAATGCTTAAGGCTAAAGTTAATGTGTTAAACAAATGTCACTGAAGACTGGCTGTAACATAAAGTTACATAGTCTTTAGTCAGAGGCTTTGCTTGGGAGATCAGAATGGGAATCACTGCAGTGGTGTGGGACTCTGTGGTGATCTCAGTAAGGTTGTCCTGTTGAATCTGGGTATTTGCAAGTCTTTTAGCAGGAGAGCATTTTGAAGTAGTTTACTATTAACCTTTTGGTTGGTTTGCTTTGTTATGCTTTGTTTTGGGGGGTTCTTATTTTAGGTCAATTCCCAGCCTGTGATCCCTATTTCACCTTGTAATAATAGAACTGATCAGCTGAAATGAACATTGTGGGTTTGAAGGGAATGGGGAGACCTGCCTCCTGGCACTATCAACCGAAGGAATGTTTCTAGAACTATGACTGGTGTCTTTTGGTTGCAGATCTTCTCATTAGAGAGATGCCTTGTACAGGAAAAGTTATGATGTGCTTTATGTATGTGTGTATTTGTTCATAATGTGGTCCTTCAGAGGCAGGAGGCTTTACAATTATTTGAGTGTAGGTGTGTACAAGGCCTACAAATAATTTAGATCAGTGTCTACTGTCACCTTCTCATGGAGTATTCAGTGCTCATTGCAAAACATACTGGTATTGTGGTTAGAGAACATGCAAAATATAAACTTCCAAGGCTCAAGTTCCGTAAGGCAAGTAAATTGAAATCACACTTTAAAAAAATCCTGGGGTTTAGGCTGTTCTAGATGACTCTGACGCCTGTGGGCTTGGCAGCGCTGGCAATGGAGACTCTGCATTCTGTGCCAAGGTTTTTTCCAACATAATACTTGCTGACCTACATTCATGAGTGTTTCTTAATCTGTCTGTTAAAATAACACACCCATTAATTTGCTGAAGGCCTGTGGTGCAAGTTGCAAGATGGAAGATAAAAGAAATTCTGGCCTCAGAAAATATTTTCCTCAAACAAGGTGGAAATATTAATTTAAATAATTAAGGTCGGAATGTGTTAGTTTTGTAATGTGTTCATCTACTGGTGGCATGTCTGGCGAGTTTCTTTCATTGTACAATTCAGAAATGCTTTGCGCATTATAAGAAAAACACAAAGTATCTGAGCCAGGCTATTTTAGAAGCAGGCATTTGTTTTCCCTTCCTTTTAACATCTGTTCAGCCTTTCTGCTGATGTGCAGAACTTGTCTGTCTGCTTTTCAGGCCTCAGTTTAGATTGTTATTCAGAATTATGAGTAGCTTTTCAAAGGTCAGGGGTCCTTACATGTATCTGAAGTGTATCTGTGTGAGGTAGGAATGTGTCTCTTGAGGTACTGCAACAAGAGACGCCCTGCTCATCCCTGCAGCACAAGAGATGGATGATGTAAAGCCAAGATGAGATGTTCACAACCTTTCTGCAAAGAACATCGGTGTTGTGTGTATTTGTAGGGTCCATAATCCCCCATCTAGTTCTTGTTGCCAGTCACTTCAGTAAGGCCTTCTTGACATCCTGTGTCACCTCACCTTAGCAAGGTACAGCCTGTATTTTGTGTGTGTTTGCACTGGGAATATGATTTTTCAAAGACTTATGGTTGAATTGTTAGTTCACTTAATGACTATTAGCACAAGATTATTTTTTTAGAATAAGCTGATTTCTTGTGTGGTTTTTAGTGTAGTAATTGTATCAGTCTTGATAGTATAGTATTTATGAAGTGTTCCTTTTTTTTTTAGACACCCTTTCACCAGCATCCAGTCCTTCATCCATTAATTTTGCCTCAGCTCCAGGTAGCATAGATGAATCACCCAGTGGAGCATTAAACATTGAATGTAGAATTTGTGGGGATAAAGCCTCAGGCTACCATTACGGAGTACATGCTTGTGAAGGTTGTAAGGTACAGTCATAATTTTCTTCTTAAGAACCTAAATCATCTTGTTTTGTTTATAGGGTAAAATGAAGGTAAACATTTGATACATAAATGTTTAATTACTGTAGCTCTAGCCATTACAATTATTTAAATAATAAACCTATATGTGGTCTTTTTTCTGAAGTAAGTCATCCAGATACCATAACTCAATACCAGACCTTCATCAAGCAGGAGCAATTCACAAAGATAATTTTAATGCTGCTTTTCTGCATGTAGTTAGTGAAATACTAAAACAAAACATTAAACTGTGACAAAAAAAAAAAAAAAAATCAAAGCCTTCTTGCTCCACTAGTGTTTTATTTGTGTTGGGAGTATGGCTGGAAGGAGTATACCACATTCCTGTTATAACAGCACCAAATCCTGAATTCTCCCCGCTACTACATGCTGCCTGAATCCCTTAGTATTGTACCTCTTGTGGTTTCGGGGCCAGGGCATGTCTATGGCACAAATTACTCTTGTCATTAATGTATAATTCTTGGGATGATATGACCCATGAACTATAAGATTCCTTTCTTTTTCCTCTAATGTTTTAGATTTCCATCTTTTTTCTATATTAGAAGGTAATAGGAGAGAAGTATTTCTGTCCCTGTGGTTGGGCCGTGTGTGACCAACTTTGCATTGCAGACTAGAGACGTCCTGGAAAGAGCAGTTGAAGTAAAGGCTGTTCTACAATAAATGGTAAAAAAAAAAATAAATTACCTGTATGATTGAAGCTTAGTAGTCAACATTCATTAACATTACATATTGTTTTTTTCAAACTTTTTATAGGGCTTTTTTAGAAGAACAATTCGTTTAAAACTCATCTATGATAAATGTGATCGCAACTGCAAAATTCAGAAAAAAAATCGTAATAAGTGCCAATACTGTCGTTTTCAAAAGTGCCTTTCAGTTGGAATGTCACATAATGGTAGGTAAGAGTGGCCTTAATTTGTTTGTTCCTAAGCAGAGTCTGGTGCTGGAGGCAGGCACTTGGATAACATTTTTACTCGCACACATGAGTTGAACCTCAGATTTTTTACAGGCTAGATCACCACGGGGGATGCCAGTTTCCCTGATGGGTTCATGTGGTTGATACTGAGCTGCCAAATGTGCTGTTATGAGCTTTACACAGTTGTGCTATGTGTCAGTTTGTCCATATGAATGTTCATTTATTTGCTTTCTTCACCCCAGAACTTTTGCAGCAGTACTCCCATTGAAACAAATTTCAGTACTGGAAGAATTCTGATTGAGGGTTTTGTTGAAGAGTAGGAGGAGAACAACTGCTTTCATTGTGAGGGGGAGTGATGTAGGATAGAAATTTGTAGGAAAGCAGCCTTAATCATTTTTCAGGTTACAGTGCAACAGCTCTTGGGCAGATGGTTCAGAAAGTGGGGAGGGAGGGCAAAGGTCTGTGCTGACTGTGCAACAGGAATCTAGTAGGTTGTTTGTTAAACAGAATGGTAAAAATTCAGAGCATTTAGATATCCAGTTTAAAAGTTATGTTGTTGTTTGTGCTAGTGATTTAAGATAAGAGTGGCAAGCTTGTGGCATACAGACCATTTTCAGCCCACGAGGCAGTTCTCTGTGCAGGACGTAGCTTGCTGAGCAACACGGGTGAAGAGGGAGAGGCCAAGCCATGAGAAAGCACATCTCACTTGGCCAGATGACAGTATTTTCCAGAAGCCAGATTTGCTTTCCCTGCTTGGCCCTGTCCAGGCTGAATTTGGGGGCAGGTGCAATGTGAAAGTAGGTAAAAATTCTGGGCTAGGTAAAAAGCTGTGTGTTAGGAGACAAATTTCCTAAGGAAACTAAGCGGTGGGAATAGGTGGGGTGGGAACATGGCTGGGGAAGCTGCTTTTGACATTGTAGTCTAGAGTCCCAGAAGGAGGCATTGTGAGAGTTGACTTTCTGGTTCTGCAGAAGCCCGGCTCTCTTGCAGTGAGCCTTGACTGAGATTGAGGTCCATTGGGAGAGGGTTGGTAGTCTCTGCAAGACAGGGGATAACCATCCTCAAAAAATGTGCTGGACAACAAAGTGACATCTCAGGCTGGGAGAACTGAGCAGGGAGCCATGCTGGAAGTTGGCAGGAACTGACATCCATGTGAAGCTGTTTCATCCTACTAAAAACACTGTGGCCACCAGTGCTCCAGTTGAAGGGAATAGCCACAGTTTTATTGCAGCAAACATGTGGGAGGCAACAACATTCTGAACCCATTGAAGTCCACAGCTGTATTTCAGATCATGCCTAGAGTCACCTCCTTATGTCATGAGAAGACTCCCTGGGCATGTTGAAGGGCTGATGGTGTTCATGCCTTGGATTGCTCAGTGTAGGCAGTGAGGTCCTGTCGTCGCTGGTTGGATGCTGAAATGCTGTACAAGCAACTCACTGCATGAGCCATCTCAAACCCTTGCACATCTCCCAAGGGTAAAATGGGGCTGGCTTAGCTTGAAACTGAAACTGAAGAAGGATGTGGATGTACCCATGAATGGCAAGACCACTTGCCCAAAAACCAGGAGACCTCCATACCCAGAGGTGTCTCAGACTTGCATCTCCTGTCTCTCAGAAGAATATCCTAATGACTAGATTGGGTATTCAGACTGTCCTTATCTCCAGTCTTGAAGAGCTGGTCTGTTGGGAAAGCAGTATGGAGTGTTGGGGGTAGAGGAGATTTTGTTGCCTATAGCCTTTGAGCTGTAAATACAGGTCTTTGGGCTAGGGTTCCCACTGGCAGTACAGATGTGTTGAATAAAGAACTGTATGCCCCTGCAGGTTCTGAGCCAGCAGTGGGATTCAGGCCTGACTCTGTTGCAGCTCTCCAGCTCGTGTGTGTGCTTTCTGCCAAGCTCCTGTCCATGAGTTTACTCAGTGTTCTAGGAGTTCACAAGGTGGACTTCGAGTTTCACTCTGGGAGCTGTAGAACTCAATGAGGAGAAAATAAAATACAAATACATTTAGAAAATGTAGAAGGGAAAAAGAATGTGTTCTAGCTCACTGCAGATAACATTTTGTGTTCTGAAACACCTGATTTCCTTCAGTTTAGTGTATTAGTCACTGACTGTGTTGGGAAGGAGGCAATTTCTTCAGCCCTGTCTCAGTTTTTGTAGACAGAGAAATCTTACTGCTCTAACCAGCAACTGTAAAAGGCTTAAGTTCTTGTATAATTTGTGTTTGTTTTACAATTATGTCTTCCCATCAGCAATACGTTTTGGACGAATGCCGAGGTCTGAGAAGGCCAAACTCAAAGCAGAAATTCTAACAGGTGAAAATTACGTAGAAGATTCAGAAATGGCAGATCTTAAATCACTTGCCAAAAGAATTCATGATGCCTACCTGAAAAACTTCAATATGAACAAGGTTAAAGCCAGAATCATCCTTGCAGGGAAAACCAATAACAATCCAGTAAGTACTTTTTCTGTTACTTTAAAATAAAACTGACAGGTACATAAGGTGATGGTAATAATTTGGGAGACTCTTTAGCAAATCTGTTAGAAAACAAATATCATGGTAATACAGATGTGAAATATTCAAAGGGAGTATCTGTAGTAAATATGGTTGCTTTTAACCACCATCAGAATAGTAAGAAGCTTTAGGAAAATCAGATGATTACCTTGTAAGCGGAAACTCATAACCCTAACTTATTGATCTTAATCAAAAATTAAGTGATATCTGAATGTGAATGCCTCTTGATATAGGAAGAACAGTTCAAAATTATTTTCCTATTATGACAGTGACAAAAAAATATGTTTTTCTGTCACAAATGTCAGGATAACTACTATTAGCTTGTAGGGTGTACAGGTGCTCTGCATGACTTTTGTTTTAATTGGAATAATATTTATAGCAGGAGGGAAAAGAAAACTTGAGTTTGTAATTTTTTGTTTCCTCAGCCAGCCTTCCTGGTCTTTTCTGTATGGTTCCTTTGAAAGGCAGAAGCAAGCAAGGTTGTGAAGACACATATGCTGTAGAAGTTACTTTTCTTTCAGGGGAATTTAGCCAAGGTCTACTTAATTTTATCAACTGCTTTTTATTTGGTAGCACATGGGAGACTATAATCAATATAAGGACTCGCTTGTTTCGCTTTATGCATATTTATTTAAGCTCTGCTGTGATTTTTGTTACTTTTATGTAGAAGATGAGTATCTTATTTTATCAGCAACTTCAGTTTCAGTAAAACTTTGCTGGGAAAAAACTTTACTTATGCCACAGTGAAAACTATGTGAGTGTGGGGATGAGTGTTATGAAAATTGTAGGCAAGCTGTCTTCTGCACTGTGGAATTTGGCATATAATAGTCTAGTCTAGCCAAGACTACAGCTTTTTACGTTAGAGGAGAGACACATGAATTATCCCAGTCTTTTTCATTGCACTAAAAAGGTGTGTAAAATGAGGCACAGACTCAAACATTTTAGGGGTACAGGCTGATATGAGCCTACAGTAAATACCACCTTTAGCTCCTCACTGAGTGAGCTTCTGCAGAAAATTTTTGCATTTCAGAACCATAAGCCACAGCATGTGGCACATGTGCAGGGATGGATCCTAGAGCATTTAATCACACTTCTTGTATTTGAATGTGTGTGGCCACAGCCATAGGGCTGACCAGCCAACAGTGACCAGCACATGTGTGCCTGGATGAATTTGTACATAAAAATTAATGGAGAATCAGCCCTAGGGTGTTACAAACAGGCTGTGTCCAATTTTTTCCATATGCAGGGAAGAGCAAAGGGGTTTTAGGCTATTTCATCATCTTTTAAGGAAACATTTTTCATTTTCTTTCACATTTTCAGCAGAAAAACAGATTTTAAAAAAAGGTTTTTTGCTTGTAATTTGCAACCCACATGTGCATTAACAGCTGATTTCAGTGAATCCTAATTTTTGGCACAACTACAGTTCATTTCAGAATGAATGAGCATTTTTCATGATGATGTGTTGTAATTTTTTAATTTAGCTCCCAAGTCCTCAGCCATGCCTCTTTACTGCACACTGAAATTATGTTAATTTTTTTTTTAATGAACTGTTTAAGATGGTGTACATTATTAAAGGTTTAGAGATATGTGTGCTGTTTCTTGCTTTGTCACTTTCCACTCATATCCACCTTCCAATGGAAAGTTCTGCTTTGTGTAACTGTGCTGAACTGAGATGGAATGTGCGGTAGCCATAAACATTTAAAAATGGACAACCATAGGAACCTGACCTGCTGGACAGTTTTCTGAATGAAACAAGTGAATCCTATGAGCTCCTGACAGAACACCATGTGTTCCCCATGCTATTTAATCTGAAATGAGCAAAACAGCCCAGGGAAGGTGGTTGGTGTGTATGGAACTAAATATCTGTTCAAGGTCAGTAACTGTGACTTTGCTAGGCTGGGAAGCACTGGGGTTTGTTGTTTTTCTTTAGTGGATTGGACTTTGTTTTGGTTGTTGCTCTGCAGATACGTATAAAAATATTTTTGAGCTCTGATTGTTTGTAAGAAGGTCTGAATGCTGCTTTTGCTATGATGTTTTAAGAGAGTGGCTCATCTGTTTGTAAAGCATGTACCTTTCCAAACAAAGGGGATTATGGAAAAAAGCAAATTTTGTGTTTGTCATTCTAGTGGGATTCTCTGTTTAGAGATGACTCAGCATCAGCTGCTAGAAAGTTGGGACAGCTGGGACATTGTCTATGAAAATCTGATACTAAAACACAAGAGTAGTGCAAGGTTCACATTCCTATGCAAATATGCTGCCCTAGGTATTGAAATGACTGTTTGTGTTCCCCCTAGGGCTCTTCAGGAAAGCATCTTGATGCGCATCAATTGTAGTTAGTTTAGGAATCGATAGGAGTGTAGGCAAAATAGCCTGGACTTCTGGAGAAGGTAATACAAGTCTTTGTGAACCCTCTAGGACTAGCTCTCAGATGGATATGGCATACTAAGCGCAGGAGTGCTGGAGCTTCGCTGTAACTATTAGATAAAAGTAAATTAAAGATATGCCATACGTCTTTGCATTTGACTATTTGCGTTGCTGTTTGCAGAGCAGACTTGTTAGGTATTGCAGTTTGTCATACACTGTTTGTCTTGATGAGAAGTATAAAAGAACTCAGGGTTTATTGATAGTTGAGGACTGATTAGCATGGAAGTTAAAGTTTATCAAAATTCTTATTCTGTAGGAAGAAAACAATAACCATTATTTAATGACTGAACTCTTGGGTTTTTTTCTCTGTAGCCATTTGTCATACATGATATGGATACCTTATGTATGGCAGAGAAGACCCTGGTAGCAAAACTGGTAGCCAATGGGATTCAGAACAAGGAAGCAGAAGTTCGAATCTTCCACTGCTGCCAGTGCACATCTGTGGAGACTGTCACAGAACTCACGGAATTTGCCAAATCCATCCCTGGCTTCTCCAACCTGGACTTGAACGATCAGGTGACACTACTGAAGTACGGGGTGTATGAAGCCATATTTGCCATGTTGGCCTCTGTGATGAACAAAGACGGGATGCTGGTGGCCTACGGGAATGGATTTATAACCCGGGAGTTCCTGAAAAGCCTGAGAAAGCCATTCTGTGATATAATGGAGCCAAAATTTGATTTTGCAATGAAATTCAATGCACTGGATTTGGATGATAGTGATATATCCCTTTTTGTTGCTGCCATTATTTGCTGTGGAGGTAAGCATTACATATTTGTTCTCTAAGGTAGTAAATTTCAATATTTCCTTCTCATTAATTAAAAATTTTAATGGAAAAGCTTCTATCCTCTGGAAGATTCAATTCTGCCACTAACTACACTTTGAGGAATCATTATAAAATTATGACATGTATTCTTTTGCTTGTTTTGAGAACAGATCGTCCTGGTCTTGTAAATGTAGGACACATTGAAAAAATGCAGGAGAGCATTGTGCATGTACTGAAACTTCACTTGCAAAACAACCATCCCGATGACATCTTCCTCTTCCCAAAACTTCTCCAAAAAATGGCTGACCTCCGACAGCTGGTCACAGAGCATGCTCAGCTTGTTCAGATAATCAAGAAGACTGAATCTGATGCACATTTACACCCTTTACTACAGGAAATCTACAGGGATATGTATTAAGGACTTCTAGTATTTTTTCCACAATATTTAAAGACAGAGAAATACAGATGGGAGCAAAACTACTCGTACAGTTACATGCTGTTCACTCAGCCCAAAGCAGGAAAAATCAAAAAACTGGGGAACTGAGTGCTACATTTTGGTTTGGGATCTTTTGTCCTCTTTTGAAAAAGTGCGGCAGAAAAATACTGGTCAGAGTGCTCAATGAAGTGTCTTACAATGGTTCTTTTATTTGGAAATTTGAAAAGATTGGTAAGGAATACATATTTGTATAATAAATCAGAATGTTAAGTAACAGAAACAAACAAAATTGAATTTCCTCTTGGCTTAGTCATTTTAGTATTAATGTAACAAACTCAGCACCTTCCTTCCAGGTATCTGCACAATCAGAAAGAAAATGCACTTTTGCCTAGTGGTAATTACTGAGAACCAGGTAACACTTTTTCTTAGAGTATTCAGTCTAGGTGTAGCAAATGGCTGGATATTACTGTCCATACACTTCTAAAAATTTGGAAAGATCTTTGATCCATTGCTGCTTTAATTCCATGAAATGATGTACAGCTTCATCTAGTGTTATGTTGGCATATTTAGGGTTAGCATGTTTAAAAGACGGTTCTCTTATGAAATTAAAATCCAAAGAGTTATTTAAAATACAGCAGAGATGCTCCAACAGGTGTGTCTTGAAGAGTAAACATGATAAACTGATGGGACCTTTTTGTTTCAAAAGTCTTTCAAGGAAATGTGAAAATATACCCTGTATTTTTGTAGAACTTATAATAGCTCAGGATGCAGTTTTGACATAAAAATACTATTTTGAATTAGCAAGAGTTTTGGAGAGACTGAAAAATCTGATCCTACCCCAGGAAAAAAAAAAAAATTTTAACTTTCTAGCAGTGATAGCTAGATCACTGCTAGAAAGATCCAAAGGAATGATTGGATAGGAAAGGCACCGGCCTCCTTTAAGTGTCTTGGCAGTATAGTTGTTTGGACCTGTTTACTTTTCTGATGAATACACTGCTTCATTTTTTACCCACTTGGATATTTTTCTATTCCTTCTTTGGCCTCATTGATAGAAGTATTTGGTACTTGTTTTCACCAGATTTTGTCCTTGTGAATAAGGCGACAGAAATACCATGAACAGTGTTTGTAGGTGTCAGACTGTGTCATAGTATGAAAGGCAGCACAGCTGAGAGTAAGTTTATTGTGTTCCTAGGAGTAAACTGATTTTTGCAATAGCACTTGCTGTACTCCTGGTGCAAAATAAGCCAAAAGGTAATGGCTTCCTGACTTTGCCATTTCATGGGCTCTTTCCTCAGAGAGCTGCCCAGAAGTCCCAGCTGCATGCAAGGCACTCTGCTGTTTCTCTTTCGTTTCTTTGATACAGTAACTTCACATTATTACCTGCTAATTTTACTTTCTGTTTCACAAAAACGAGGTCTCAGGAGCAACTCCAGTATTTTCACTACAGTTAAGCTTTCAGTGGCACAGGAGGAGACTTTGTACTTGTTTTATTTTTTGCAGCACATTTGAAGACACCAGTATCTTCACTGCAAGGACTGAGTGATGAAGTGAGAACATCACACTGTCATTCCTATTTTAGTGGCAATGCTTGTTTCTGTCCAGGCCCACTGACACAGCTGGACACTGGAAAAATTAAAGGTTTAAAGACAGCTTGGGATTTATCTGGACAATGATTGTGGCAGAAGTTATAGATAAATATAGATATATTTAGTGTAAAATATTGAAGCCCCAAAACGGGCCCCAGATTTGGTGAGCATCTAGGGCAGGATAGAAACAGTAACTGCATGTGCACAAAACTTTCTCCCCTTCCCTGTTGTCAGCAGGAAGAACAGGCCTCAAAAACTGAAAGAGGAATGTTGGTCTTGCCAGGAACCCTCAGATGAGAATGGGCTGCCTTTTGTGTCCAAGAGCAGTACACAGTGTGCCCTCAGAAACAAAGAGAGGATTTTAGGAATGCTGCTGCTTTATTCTCCCAGCCAACCCTGTTTCACTGAGGAGCTGTGGGGTTTAGGCCATGGAAATAATTGATCTGCAACATTGCTGATGCAAAAAGTTGTCAAAATATCAGCCATTCTGGGAAGGTGTTCTGAAACTGTAGGAGCCAACTGCTAGTTTATCTTCTGAAAAACATGGATAACTTGAATTATTCTCCCCCAAAAGCACAGATTTTTGCAGAGGGCAAATTTCAAAGTTGTATTCCATAGTCTAGGTGTACTGTAGGTTCTCAGGAAAATCAGATACAGTGTGCCTAACTATTTTTCCAGCTCTTGTTCTCAAAAGTGGCTAAAATACTTCAGTAATACTTAAAAACATGGAAAATTAATAATAAATACTTAAATTCTTAGCTAAGCTATAAAGAATTGCAAATAGAGTAACTCAGTGAAAGACATAACATTTAGTTGTTTTAGCAGCTATTTGTAACAAGGTCCTGTTACTAGCATGAGAAAAGTGCATAATTTTTTTTGTTATTTGAAAACCAGCAAGAAATTTTTGACTACTTCCTTGGACATTAAAAGTTTGATTTCTGATTTAAATTAAATTGCAGACCCTTAATGAGAAAAAAAAACCAAAAAAACCCCCAAAGAACACATCTCTGAATTACCGAAATATGAACAAGATGTTAACACAGCCTAAAATTCTGGATGGATTCCACTGCCCACACTGCTGCCCCTTGCACATTCCCACAGTTACTTCAAAGAGTGGCACAGGGCAGAAAATTCCCTTCCCAGAGAAGTAATGGCAAAAGAACTTCTCATTTCTACATTACGCTTTAAAGGAATTATATTTGCTCCTTCAGGAGGTGACTCCAGCAGGTTTTGGCCAAGGAGATTTTAAGGTTACTCAGTTTATGTCCTTTTTTTTTTTAATTTGTAATCCAAACTAGTCTCATACCTATTTCTGATTTATTACTTCATTATTTCCCCTATGTGCAGATAAACTAATACTTTAAAGTACTCCATCTATGGAGGGAAGTAAAGTGATCATATTTTAGGATTAAAATGGTATTGAAGATTTACTGGCTCATCAGGTACAGTCTGGATCTGATTCTTACCAACATAATTCATTTTACTATCATAGCATGGAAGAACTCTGGTTAGCAACCAGGCCCCACAAACAGCTTAAGGCAACAGATAGGAGATGGATAGAGAAATATCCTGAGAAACAATGGTGTGACTTAAGTTTTCAGAAAATCTACATATTACTCATTTTTGATCATTGTTTGAGGGGAAAATATTTATTTATCTGGTGCCCTAGGTACTTTTTGTCGAAGGGGAATGGGGGAAGAAAAGGATGTTTTTGTGCCATGTATTAGGGAAATCTATTCATTCTTCTCTCCTTAAATATTTCCTTTAAAGCTGCTGTTTAAAAGAAGTTAATTACTTTGTACCTTTCAACATTTCTGATCCCACTTTTGCTTTAAACACAAACTGACACCTGAAAGTTTCCACTTATAGAAGCTGCATCTTTCATCACATTTAAAGAAACCATGTTTTGCATTAATTTCCATTTCCATGTGCCTTTGTGCTTTGGTTCCAGCAGCTGCTGCAGTGCTGCCAGAGAGCAGTTTGCATTATTCCTGCCCCACGCAGATCTCGGAAATACCAGCAGTTGCACTAAGCTCATTCTCATGAGAGAGAGTTGGCACAAGGCTGTACATCAAAGAGCTTATAATAAGCATCTAAACATTTGTTTGTTTATTCAAACTGCTGAAACTTGGGTAGATTTATTCATCACGAGAGCTGGGTCACATACGATTGAGTTTGAATTTCCTCCTTATTTCTAATAGAAAGCCTGGACAAACTTAGGCCCCATCTGAGGCAGAATAACTTGGGGATATCATGCTGTGTCTGCAGAGGAACAGTTTCAGTCTCTCCTGAAAAGCTTCCTGTGACTTAGCTGAAAATCTGCAACTGCATTTGACAAATGCATTTGCAGCTGTTATGGTACTGTTTAAGCATAAGGTCTTACAAATAATGGTCCCTCTCAGAAACCTCTCGTCCTTTAGGAGGTGTTGGAATGTAAGGTGGAGCATGGTTTCTGTGCTTGCTTATGTCCCAAGTGCTTTCCTGATAATCAGTTGCATATAATTTTTGTATTTAGGTTTAATCAGCTTTATTATCCTTCTTTTACTGGAGATTTAAACTATATGTGGGTTTGATCTAAGATTATTGATATTGTTATGTGTTGTGGGATTTTTTTAATTTCAGGTAATACCATTTCTTCATGGTTCAATTTATAAAATACAAGAATATAATTGCAAGGTATAAACTTTTAAGTTTATATCACTAAATTAATTACAGAGGTAAATTAATTACAGAGGTGCTTAAAGAAAAATGTGTAAATTATTTAATTTAAATATTTGTTACATACTTCATCTTGTGAACCCTTTGTACAGTGAGGAAGTATTTACTTTTATGGGCTAAGGATGAAGGGGCTGATGTCAAAGACAAATAGCTATTTATTCATGTCTGGTCTTTATTGCTGTATCATTTGTGAAGAACTATCACAAATTCTTCAAAGTTATCAGTGCTTGATGTTGATGATTATAACAAAAATTCAAAATATATTTTCACATAGAACACAGACTTCCTTTTATTTAATTTTAATAAAAGCAAGTCTTGTTGAGGAATAGCTGCAATCCCAAAATCAAGTTTTTAATTCAAGTTCACCAGTAGGAAAAATGGTGTGCACAACTGAGTTAATCTTTCTTTTGCAGCATGGTAGCTCCTTTTCTTTTGAAAAGAGCTAAAAAGAAGCTGCATTTGGTTGGTGCACCAGTTTCTGAGGAACTGACTTGTGGCTCACTGGGAATAACAAAGTGTACTCTGGATTATTCCCTGTCACCTGCCCTGAGGGCAACCTGCTGCTTTTATAGATGTATTTCAACAATGATTTGGCAGCGCAAAACAAAATGTTGAAATTGGATTATTGGCTTCTGTACAGGAGGGTTCCTGTGGGATTTTAAACAGAATTCAGAGTCTGTTTAGAGGGATTGTGTCTGGTGCATGTAGGTGCGACAGTCTGTGCCTACAGCATCCTGCTAAGGAAATCTGATATAGGGACAAAGGTATCTATCTTCTATTTTGCTGTGTGAATCACCAAACACAGTAGCTATCACAAGCACAATCTATTACAAATGTTCTAGCTATCATTTGTAGTTACTGCTTTTCATTTGTAACATGTAACATTTTATTTCCTCAAATTGCTGCAGCTTGGCATTTTCACTTCATCAGTGTCACCACACAGGTATGTTGCCTCCTAAGGTGTTTGTGTCATTTTGCAAAAGCTCTGCTGGACTTCCCTGTGCTAACCTGAGGCGACTTCCTTTACATTGTCACTTCACATGACACAAACCATCCGTGTAACTGAGCCCATCCTAAAGAAGGCTGTTTCCTCCTTTTTTCTATTGTGCTCACAGGTTTTTAAAATCTTTTTCTGCTTCTGAAGCTGGAGTGGTTTTTATCTTGAGCTCCTTTATTGCATCAGTCAATCTTGTCAGATTCCATTGCTGTGGATGTTTTGAAACAGAATTCCTGTTGCAAGGACCTCAATTTCAGATGAGCTGCCTCTGCCAGGGGATAGGCAACATGCACAAGAGACTGATCTGATTACAGGCTGGACCTTAAATAAGGACTGCAAGATCAAGCATAAGGTATTTAAAATAGTTTCACTACTTGAAGTACTAGTAGTATTTTGGTGTATTTTCTCAGGTTGGATATGCAGGTAATCCCTGTCATGGTAAAGACACCAGCCTTCTGCTCAAAGCCAGGAGTTTCATGGCATTCTTTCCACTTGAAAGAAAAAAGATTGGCAGGATCTTCTCTTGGGGAAGTCCTGAGCCACTGAAATCCCAGCAGCACACCAGTCCTGGGTTGTACTGTGGGTGTGTAGGAGTGCAGCGTCACCAGGCAGCCTGTGTGGGATGTGCTGCAGAGCTGGGAGCAGGTCACCACCCCACAAACACCACACCCCAGCCCATCCAGGGGCTCACATGGCTCATCCCCACACACACAGCAGCTCTCTCCATGCAGTCACAGTACCTTGGGCCTTTGGCAGAGGAGGAATGTGCATGGTTTAGTTACAGCTGAGTAATAACGAGTCTAACCAACATTTCAGTGCTATCGATGTGCTCCAGACCCTCCTCTGAGTGGCTGGACAAAGTCTGGTTTAGCAGCTTCTCGGGGGAGCTGCCTCCTGTGCAGCTCCTGCTGTTTCACAGCTCTTACAAACAGTTGCTCAGAATTTTCTCTAGGAATGCAGCACCACAGCTTAAGTGACCTGGGATGTTGAAGGCCCCCCTTATGTCTTAAATGGTCTGTTATCTGGTAGGACACAAAAAAAACCACAGTGGTGTTAATGTTGCCAAACCCTAATCAATAGAGCTAATAAATGTTTCATTAAATCAAGATATCAATATTAAAGAGAAAACAAAACAGCTTATTGTTTCCAGGCATCTGTTTTTAAGAGGTTTTGGGTACATTTTACTACAGTAAATAGAGAATGTAGAACGAGCAGACATTTCTTTCAAGGAGTAGTCAAACCTAATTCTCATGGAATGCTTGTTTCCCAGTAAAAACCACTAATTCAAGCCAAGTTCCCAAGTGTTTTTCTGTTAGAACAATGCAAATGACACTTTCAAGGACAAATGGATGCCCTGGTCTTGCAGGGATTTTTAGGAAAGACAACATATCTTGCACTTGTGAATGTTTTAAGTCACACATAGCTATATACAACGATGCATTCTCAAGCGTTACCAGCCTACTGATCTAGGATGAAAAAACTTGAACTAAATATTTTTTTTTCTTTTTTACATTCTGATTTTCTTCTGTCTTCTTTAAAAATAAAAGGTTGAATTCACAGTGTTTGTATAAAGACTGGTAGGAAGCTATGTGCTTTAATCCTTTCAGACTGAATGTAAACCAACTTAATTTGAAACAGTTTTGCCTTAATGGTTTTAAAAAAATAAAGTATTTTTAAAAGTGAATTTAATGATTTGTGCTGATCTTTTATCTCCAGGAAAGGAACTCACTGCAATGTGACATTCAAAAGGCAGCATATTTGAAGCACCTTAAAGTACTGATGCTTCCCTGAGTATTGTTAGACACCTTTTGAAGCAGGACTGGGTGTGTAACATATTCAGAAACATTTCATATGGATTTATCTATCTATATATATTACCTAAGTTTGGTGCTGACCCATCATCCAGCTGTGATCTTTCATATTCTCATGGGTTGTATGGCTGGTTTGAAACATCCATGGAATTCAACAAGTAAAAAGTGAACTTCTGTGTGAAGTGCAGCACTGACTAATTCAATGAGGATATCTTCAATTAAACCAGTCAGGGAAATATGTCACAGGTAGCTGTTTTCCTTTCCAGAATCTGGGGATATTTTAAGCTGGTAAGAGAGTGCTGAAGTGAAAACTACAGAGGAAAAAGACTCAGGTTTCTTCATGTGCTCAGGAGCATGGAAGACCTGATGTTGAAAGTCCTTTGAGACCCCAATGAAAACAACCTGTAAAGGCTGTGCATCCATGAAGAGCAGGAAAGGTTGGGCATGGTATCATTCAGGCTGTCAAATCATATACATACTAAAATATGATGATACTGAGACCATAATGCTCATGTTCAGTGGGAATACAAGAATGTGGAATATATGAGTTCTAACAGCTGGGCACAGATAATAATCCATTGTCATTCCAGGAAATACCAAGTGGCATGTAGGGCCATCTCCTTTCCCTAAAGCATAGACCAGAGATGCCAGAAGGCATCTGCTGTCTCTCTGTGGTACCTGCTGACCTGACTTTACTGCACCTACCAGGTCTTCACAACCAGGTAACTCTGAAGCAGAGGCATCCCTGACTTGGTTCTTCCTGCTGTACAATAAATAACTGAGCTGTACTGAGCCATTAAATATTCTTTAGTTCTGTTCTGAGGTTCTGGTCCCTTTTAATACTGAGTTTTTTCCCCCTCCAGTTCAACATAACAAGTACTTAAAGGCAAGGCAGTTTCTGAGGGCTTTAAATGACTCTTCAGTCACATCGTAAAGGCAAAGATAATGGTTATGAATAAATGAGATAACTGCATTTGTCTTAAAAGGGCACAGAGGAAGCTGAACAGAGGGAAAACAGGTCAGAGAGATGAGATTCCATTCTCACTGACACGGGAACTGCACTAGGTAGGCTTTTAAAACCTGCTTTTAAGAGTACAATCTGTCAGGAGCAATGGGAAATCCAAGAAATAAAATATTTCAAGGTATGTTTGCTGGTATAAACATATCCTGTGATCTACATGACCATGTTGCTTTGGCAGCTTGATTACAAGACTGTATTTCCAAGGTGGGAAAGGGCTCTCTTCAGTAGTTGGTGTAGCACAGGACATGCCTCTGGTGTTTATACAGAACAGACACACCACAGCTTTTAAACAGTGTTCCTAACATGTAACTGAAATACAATACCACCCATCTTATATAAGTTTAGTATCGCTTTCCCTGAAAATGTAGTCTTTTGTAACTGCAAAAAAGAATCTGAAATGTTGCCTCCTAACAGGGATCTTTTCTTCCACAATTAGAAACACAAACATTTTATTTATTAAAGCACTTAGGACTTGAAAACGTTACTAACAGGTCCATTTTTGCTCCTCCAGTCACTGCAAGCAATTTCAGTCCTGAACAGAGGGCACCAGTATGCTAAGTTCAGAAAAAAGAAAGATTTTAGCATACTTAAATGTCCTAAACATCTCTTTGAAATCATGTTGATTCTTTTAAGGGACACATGTTCATTCTACTGAAATGATCCATTTTTGATGTTGTCCTATTACAAATTATATGGATGGCAGAGTTGGAAAAAGGAGATGTTAACCAAGGCACTGAAGGTTCTGAAGCAATGACTAACAATAATTTGAGTAGAAAAAGGTGATTTTGTGATTAGGGAGTGTTCTAGATGTATCCTTAAGGCATGTGATTCTGGTTTTACATAAAAGCCACCTAAATCTTAAGACAGTCAAAACAGATAACTGAAGAAGTAACTTCATCAGATAACTGATTTTTGAGCTAAACAAACTGCTGTTTTCATAAGAATGTTTTGCCTTTTTTGCCTGAAACTGTGTTTCTGACATCCCTTTTACAGCTACAGTTTATTTGTCCGGTTCAGGAAAAAATTGAGTGTATTAAGAGAACTCTTCTATTTCCACATTAACTGCTTTGAAAGTGCAAAGGAAGTCACCTTTATTGTAAGGCATGAGCTAAATGTATTTGGAGTCCTCTCCAGTTGCTGTGCTGACATGGACTGGAAGGTTAAGTGAAAAGTAACTGCAAGTGAAAGGGACTTGTAAATACTTTTATTGATTAAAGAAGCACCGACGTTCAGAGTCTCAAGTCTCAATGCTGTAATAGCATTAAAATTATTGAAAAATTTAAGTATTATATTTATGACATTTTCCCACAGCACTTTTATTTTAGACTTAAAAAAAAAAGCTTTAAATTCCCTGAATAATGTAATCTTACCAGGACAGCACTGCCAGATTAACAATTGGTGTACAGTAACTTTTTGGGTATATACGGAATTAAGATAGATCAATCTGTTTCAGAATTTCTTAACACTGTAGGAGTGTCAAGAACAACACAAAGCACAAAAATAGCAAATGTGAAAATCTGGACATGGTTCCTATGCTCTGTGCAGTCTGGTTTCTTACTGAAAGCATTTCACATGGTGACAGAAGGGTCATCTGCCTTCCTTTCTGGCTCCTCAGCACCTCAGAGCTGCTCCCTGGTGTGGCTGGCGCTGCACGGGGATATCTGAACCCAAGCCAAGGGCAAGGAAATGTGCTGCTCTCTCTAGTAGTGAGCTGATGAAGGTCACTTCTTTAAAAGGAGCAACCTGATAGTCTCCAGGCAGAGAGAGGGGAAACCCCAGCCAAAGAAATGTCTCTCTTGGTCCTTCAAGATTTATGCTTTGTATCCGTTTTTTTTGCAGGATTTCTGCTGGGGCTTCCTTTTATCCATGTCTTGTATTTCCAAAGGAAAGGGCTTTAGGTTTTCCTTCACGCAGGGGAGGCAGAAACTTTTGGAGTAGAACAGACTACAGTCCTGGCAAGAAAATAACATTACTAGCAGGATACACAAAATGGAAATGCTTACGTTCCATTCTCATTAAACTAAATTTATATTTAGAATTTTTCTAAAATTAATTATGCTTTGTCTAGGCTGAAATATTCCAGCAATTTAACTTTTTCTTACTCAATAATTCTAACATCTGGTTAGAGCCAACTGGGTGAAAAATAAAACCCCCAAATCAACAAATCGACCTTCACCAGCTCCCTGATCCAGGGAATAGCAGCACCCCTCCTTCAGCTGCATTCTCCTTCCAGCACCATGCATGGGTTTCCTGGCTTACTGAATTCCAAATAGGATTTCATGTGTAAGCTGCAGCTGGCATTGCTGATGGATTATACTTGGAGAGTGAATAAAGGTGTAAGAGATTCCATGGGTTTTACTGAAACAGCAAAGTTTTCCTTTAAGTCTTTGCTGATGAAGGTTTCTACCACCTGGGAGGATCTTCCAAATTCCTGCAATGATGTGTGAGACTTAGAGCCTCAGCACAGTCTCCCTCACCAATCTCCACAGAAATGGACTAAAGGCCAACACAAGTACTAAGTACTGGGGGCTCTCAAGACAGACAATCTTTTCCATAACTCCCCAAAAACTATTCTTAGTTCCATTAATCCATGCACTTGTATTGTCCTAGGAACTAAAAAGTATCACAGTTATATCAATATCACAGAGGTGTCCAATAACCAGAGTAGTTAAATGAACTCCATTCATCTGAGACAATTCAAATGAGATTTCATCTCTTACCCTCAATAAATGTATCCACTGGTTAAAACTTAAAATCACACCTCGTACTAATGCTTGAGCTAATTGTTCTCCTCTGAACTCATGATAGCAAAGTATAAAAGCTGTTGTGCATAAAGAAGATATTTTTGCTATTCCTGTTCTGTTTGCTGCTCATACAGACCCAATATTTCTTTTTTTTCCCCAGGAGCTGTAACCAGATGCTAGTAATTGAATAGAAAGAAGCAAAACTGGTGGAATATATTTTAATATATTTGCAATGTAGAGTTTGAACAACTTGAAGATAAACTAATTAATGTATTATTCCTTTGCTCTGCAATGAGACTTGACATCCCTGGTTCTCTTGATGTGCTGATCACCAAATTCCAAATAGGATTTCATGGGTAAACTGGAACTGGTGTTACTGATGGATTATTCTTGGGGATTTGAGAATAAATAAAGACATCAGTTTAGATAGAACTGGGCATCTTTTGGGGAGAAATGGATTCCCTGGGTCTTACCTAAATAGCAAAGTTTTCCCCTTGCCATGGTCATTTGCAGCTGGCATTTCTCTGGGAGCTAGGCTTGCGTATTCCTGTGTTCCTCTCCTTGCTTTTGTTCCTTATGTCACTATCTGGGCTTTAGCAGCAGATTCAGCTGAAAATTATACCCAAATCACAATCAGCCTGCTTCTTTGTGACTTGGAAGCTTGAGGAACAACTTCTCTTCATCTATTGTCCTTTTCTGTGTTGACTGCCAGGCCTCTTCATGGTCAGGAATGTGTGAGGCACTAGCCTCTGAAAAGTGTAATCTGTAAGTGGATTTCAGTTGCACAACCTGCAGAGCCTATTGTTTTTTGTCTCTTGGTATCCTTAATACATTAAGCTGCCAGTTTAAAAGGGGAGATTAGAGTTTTAGGCTATTGTTGCTTGCATTGCCAAATGGCACACAGCCCCCCAGCTCCAAGGCTCAGGGCTCCCAGTGGTGGCCACTGGGCCATGGCAAAGGAGGGGAGGGGCTGTTCCTGCAGGTGGGATCCCTGATGTCAAGACAGCCCCTCACAGATAACACAGGTGCTCAGCTTCCATTCTTTTGGCTGAAATGCGTTGCTACCTACTGCAGATTTTAGCCTTTTAACAGGAACTGGCAAAATCATGACATATGAACAACCCTGAGCATGTACCTGTAGCCCACTCTCTCAGTCCGGGGATTTTCAGCCTAACTATTCTTTCAATGCCCTATGAATTAAACTTATTATTAGAGTTGAGCCCTTTTTTAAAACCGTTATCCTGGTAGAGTTCTGTGTTTAATCAGATAATTCTTTCATCTGTTTTCTCCCTTCCATGACCCAGACAGGAAGGGGCCATTTCAATTTTAAATTTCATAGTCCAATTCAGGCAAAACAGTACCACCAAAGCATGGTGCCATCATTTATTTCTGTTCTGAATGAATCATGTCTGAAAGTAATGTACATATACATACATATGCAGGGATGGTATCTTTACCACAAAAAGGAGAGGAGAGGGGAGAGGGGAGAGGTTTGGAGAGGAAAGGAAAGGAAAGGTTTGGAGAGGAGAGGAGAGGTTCAGAGAGGAGAGGTTCGGAGAGGTTCAGAGAGGTTGGGAGAGGTTGGGAGAGGAGAGGAGAGGTTCGGAGAGGTTCAGAGAGGTTCGGAGAGGAGAGGTTCGGAGAGGAGAGGAGAGGTTCGGAGAGGTTCGGAGAGGTTCGGAGAGGTTCGGAGAGGTTCGGAGAGGTTCGGAGAGGAGAGGAGAGGTTCGGAGAGGAGAGGTTCGGAGAGGAGAGGAGAGGTTCGGAGAGGTTCGGAGAAGAGAGGTTCGGAGAGGAGAGGAGAGGAGAGGAGAGGAGAGGAGAGGAGAGGAGAAGCTCTGCCCATCCATATCCAGAACTGACCCTGCATGACTGGAAGCTGAGTGGGAAGCAGCTGCAGTATTACATTTATCACTTAACACTTACAAATATGTCCAAGGTCAGTGCTCCGTGACCTTCTGCCAAGGTGAGCAATAAGGGATGCAATTTGCTGCATTTCCTCCTTTCTTCTCCAAAAGTCACCTTTTCTCCATGTCTTTAGAAAGCATTGCAATAAAACAGAAGTAACTATTTTAAATTACCAATATGGTCAGATAATATCATTTCCTCTCCCCTTTTCTGAAAGGGTAATAGGAGGAAGGGCACTCAACCTGGCCAAGGACTTTTAAAAGCATGTCTATTATCTTACTTTTTGTGTGGTTTTGACATGTTTTAAGACATTCCAGATAATAACTGGAATTATTCCCAGCTGGATCAGAACTAATGGCACTTACCAAGGCACTCTGATAAAAGACTTGAGCAGCGTGATACAGGCTACAAAATGATTGAAGTAAATTAACTGAGTGAAACTTCAGAGGATATTTGGAGATGTTTAAGTTTATGAGCACTATACAGAACAGCTGCCAAGTTTATTGGCACAGCAACTGAAAGGAAATACACTTCAGCTACCATGGGCTTTCTCATGAAAAGCCTAAAATCTGATCTGTCTCTCAAGTCTCCTTAGGTACAAAAGCTAGCTAAAATTCCTTTGCCAAATCCAAGGTCAGAAAAGTCTTAATTTTGCCACACGTTGGCCTAATACTATTCTGAATTACCACAATATTAAAAGAAGCCTGTCACTAAAACCTTTCCAATTGGTCCAGCTTCTTTGCCAAGAGGCCCAAGAAAATATGATTTTCTTCAGCTTCAATTCCTATGTTTTGACATTTAGCTCAGGGGTGAATTGATATACTTGGGTCAAGCACAAGCAGGAACCACAACCACTAAGGAGATATCGTCTTAACTTTGTCTCTCTCTATTGCCTTGGATAAGTTTTTACTTCTCTGGACTTTTAATTTTCCCTACATGAAGAGGAATACTATGTGTTTACTTACTTTGTGGTGTGGGTGTTTGAAGCACTGATTATCATTTTTGTAGATCTCTTTCAATGTTACCTAAGCAGTATTGCTAAATTCATTTTGAAACCATAGTCATATGTGTGATTCACTATCTGGCCTGGCCAGTTTGGTAAGAAATTTATTCTCAATTATTTACAATCAATGTTTTACTTTGAGTGATACTATCAGGGAATCTTGAAAATTCAGATAACCAGCAGTAAATGACTGACAAATTTCCACAATAGGCAAAATAAGCAGGGCTTTCAAAAAGGTTAGAAACTTCCATTGGCTTACAGCAAGTATTCATTCATTCATTCTTCCATTTATTGCCAAGACCTAGGTTAACTGAAAAAAAACCATATCTTTTCAAAGAAAGTCCCACCTTCATTCAGAAAAGCACAATGCAAAGACCCTGAGAGGCTGAAATGCTCTATTTCTGATTGCTCAAACAGCTACACTGGGAAATATCTGCTGAATCCTTCCTAAATTCAAGACACTTCACTTGGGAATGAAAATAGTTAAATGTGCTGAAGTTTGTCCCAAATGTGTCTGTGTTGCCAATCCTCTGCTGTTAAAAAGGAAGGATAAACATGGCGTGTCAGGGCAGGAATCAAGCCCCTAAGCCCAAACTTTTTGAATAGCTGCACCTGGCTCCTCCTTGGGCTGTGTGTGAGAGGGAGTCAGCCCCCGCCACAGCAGGGACAGCAGGGAAGATCTTGCTCATATCATGTGAGCTTTGCCTCCACACAATTGCCCTGAGCAACCTGGCTCTGGAAACTTGAGCCCAGCCACCACAGCCACAACCAGAAGGTGCTGGCACTTCACCAAGTCAGAGCCTACAACTCCCTCTTGAAGCTTCAGAATAGGAAAAAAATAAAACCCCAAACCCTCTGAGCTGCAATCACTTTCAGTGATTTTCAGTCATTTAAAAGTCAGAAAAGACTTCAGAGATAGGATGTTGAGAAATTCTCCCAGTGCAGGTAGCTGGGTGTGTGAGCTCCCATGCCAGCTACACATTGTGCCATGGATGGTAGGAAGCAACTGGAGCCTCCAGCCACGAGCCAGGGCACAGATCCTTTTCCTAACAAAGGGCTCAGGGCCCTGCATCACAGTCTGGGAGAGGACTGGTTACCCTGAGACTCTGCAGGAGCCAGTGAACAGCAGGAAGACCCCAAACCAGAAATTCTCCATGGGAATAGGCACACAGACTGTAGGGGTATAAAAGCCCAGGGGTTTCTTTGTTTGGGCTCATCCTGGAGGAAGCAGCCTGAGCTGTTCCTGCTGCTGCACCATTCAATTATTAAATCTTTTTTTCCTGAATTGGATACCTGACAAACCTGAGTAAGAAATTTCTTTAATGAGGAAATAAACACAATCAGGAGAAAGGCATTACTGCACGCTCCTCTTAGCCCATCCTTGCTGCTGACTGCCCACAGTTCAGAACAGCAACTAAACTGGGCCAAATGTGCCAATATCCTTCTGGCTGTGTCTGCCCAACTCCCAGAATTTGAGACTAACAGCAAACAAAGGGGCCAGTTCTGCACTGAGAAGAAGGAATTAAGACAAATAATTTAATATCACTTTTCTCGACTGCACTCAGATTTCACAGTTTAAGATTGTCTTTCAGCTGCTACTTCAGAGCAGCTTCATTTTTCTTCATTTTCAGAGCATTTTTCTTCAGAGAGCAGCATGGCATGGTACAAATCTCCTTCCTGCTCACTTTAAACATTAACTTTTGCAAATAGGATGACAGCCCTGTGCTGTGAATGCAAACCTAACAATCCACGGACATTTATATTCCCTTTACAGAAAAAAACACAATCTACTATCATATGGGATCCATACTGCCCTTACAGTGTCATCTATATTGCCCTTGCATTCCCTGGTGCTAAGAAAGTAGAAAAGAGCACTCCTTGTGCTTGAGAGGCTGGACTGATCTCACCTGTAAACAGAAAGCCCACAGCTGCTGATTATTTTAATTTAATACTGAAAGCTTCATCTGGCAGAATCCACAAGAACATACAATTATGTGTAGACATGATTTTCTGAACCTGAGAGAGTTTTAGGCTCTCAGGGGCTGAGCTGTTTCCCAAGGGAGTCTTTTGGGAAACTTTTTCTCTCTCAAGGACTGTTGTGTAAATAAGATTTTGGTTCTCAAAATAAGGACACAGATGTTCTGAGTGTTTTTTTCTCTTGTCCCACCAATGGGATAAGGGAGGTGTTGTTCCTTGTACCAATCAGGTTAACCTGTATCAGGACACCTTATAAAAAGGGCTGAAAACCCCAAAATAAAGGTTTTTTGCCTCATGAAATAAAACCTCAGCTGTGTGGGTTAAGAACCCTTGCTTCATACTTCGTGTAGCAACAACTATGTACAATAACATACATATAGTAGTAGGACTAGGGGGAATGGCTTGCCTTAAAACCTGATTATTTGGGATTTTGCTGTTTGATCTTTCTCTGACAGGTCACCAGGACTGGAACAAAAAGAAATTATTGAAGCAGCTTGTTTTGCTTGTTACTTACTGTACCAACACACACTACTCTGCTACACAAACTGCAATGAGACCCAACGATGTCCTTGTCAGGGGTGAGAGGATCCTTCATGACATAGGCCTCTCACAAAAGCCTGCAAAAGAATAATTTCAGGCTTTTAAGTGTATACGTCACAGCAGGAGATGGTTGAGAGGGGAAAATTGTGGAGGCTGAAAAGTTATCAGCCCTTTGTACTTGATTTGCTCATCCTGCTGTAGTACCTGAGGCAACACAGCACCTCTGCAGCTCCTTTTCTCTTCAAAACCTTTAACTCTGCAGCTGCCTTCAGTCCTGTACTGCACTTTCTATCTCTCTTCCAACAGTAGAGCAATTGGTGAGCCTCTTAATGTCATCTTACTTACTTTTCAATGTTCTAGCTTAAAGTAATTATCTTCTATTTTTTATGGCAGGCACCCCTTAGCATGGCCAACTTCAGTACCTTGTCAAGTCACCATTTCAATTGCACAGATTTTAATCAGAAGTCCTCTTCCAAAGCTGCATGCAAGTATAAAATATAGAGGTTTTTCTGCTCTTGGTTATGTCACTGCTGTAAAGCTGAGGTCTCCAACTCCTGAAAGCAGGAGCTACTAGCAGAGAGCCCTGCAGTTACCTCCAGTGTACTTTGTGTCACAGACTGTACTGCTTGCTCCAGGGGGTTGAGGGAGTGCATTTATTAATAATTTGACAACCTGCTTGGGAAAAACTAAAGCTTTATTTTTTTTCTGTGAGCTCCAAGCAAGATAATACAGAAGCCTGTTGAGTTTCTGTCTGCACAGGGCACCCAGCAAGGGCACCTGGATTGCTCTTGGGCTTAAGTCAAACTTGGATTATGGTAATAATATGGATAAAAGGTATTCTGTCAACTCATACTGCCTTCTCCTTGCTTCTGTACACACACAAGTGTGTACAGGAGTGTGTCCAGCAGTGTTCCTCTCTTCTTTTTCTGTCCACTCAAACAGAAAATTATATGGCCAGTGTCTTCCACTGTTAGGAAAGATCAGGCATCTTACTATGGCAGATCACCCTGTCAACAAGTTCCTGGGATACAGGAAATGTGTTTGCAAAGCTCCCCTTGCAGGATTTCCAGCCCTCATCAGTGCAGAGCCATTGGACAAGGCCTCCTGTCCAGCACATTTACTGCAGCACTACATTTGGGACAGGTGAGCAAGCCAAGAAAGATGGGGTGTGAAGCTGTTTCTTAAAAGCATCTATAGAGGTGTGATGCTTCAGCATTATTCTTTTCCTTTTGGCACCTGGGCAATCCAAATAAAACTGGGATGTTAACACTGGGCTTGGATAACATAAATTAAGATTCACATCATTCAGGCTCTTCAGGAATGGACCTGATCAAAGGTGAGCCATTGCTCTGCTGAGTGGAAGAGGGAAAACTAGCAGCACTGTGGGGTTTGGAATGATGGAAAGACAGCTGCCTGAGGACAACAGCCCCAGCAGGTGGTAATCAACAGCTGTTTCCATTCTTTAAGAAACTGAGAGGTCTTATTAGGGTGAAATGCTGAATACATTCAGCAATACATACTCCAGATCCAGAGAGTTCCTGACCATGTCTGCTTGATGGATTTGTTGACCATGATGGCCCCCGCCAAGCTACTCATGCATTTAAAGCAAAATGCTTTATTTTATGGGGAGTTTAATGTCTGCAAACAAAGCTGTAGCTGCATAATTTCTGGGCAAACTATCCCTACTTAGCAGAGAGAGAAAAGGCTTTGGTCTCTGAAAATATAAATACATAGTGAACATCCATACACCCTGATGTCACACAGTCTGACAAGGGATTGTCCAATCCACACAAAAAAACACTGCTATTCAAAACTCCACATCATGCGAAATAGCTCTTAAGTGTTTCTGCTATATATATTTGTGGTGGTTCTAAAGCACTAACTTTAAAAGGTTATAAAGTGTTATTCACAGAGTTGATCTCACTTTTTTAATAGTGAAAAAACTGTCAATTTTCAGAACTGGCCAGCTATTGGCCAGTTCTCAAGCAGAAAAACAACTCTGAGAGGCTCTGGAGCAGCCTCCAGCAGCCTCTCTCAGAAACCTAACTTCCATGGGTGTTCCTCACTTTTTCTAAAATGCCAGTTCATCACAATATTTCATTCATGTTGTGTGTATGTATTGCTCACCTGAGAGAGGCTACAGTGAGGGAAGGGCTATTCCCAGAAATACCAGACTGGCAGCCAGCAGTATTCTAGCAAAAAAATATTGGTATAATAGAGTTGTCAGTGGAGCTAGAAAATAGGTTAAATACAAATTTTTGCATGTTACTGAAGCAGGGCACAAAAATTGATCGTTGTCTTTCCTACCAATACTGCCAATTTTTAACATTCTTTCCCCTTGGTAAAAAGGAGATCACTTTAAGTACCAAGCTTCATGTTCAGGGTCAGTACAGCACATTATTGGGCTCATGCAATGAACACTACAAAGAATTCTAATGCTCATAGCAGAAATTAAGTCTGTGATCTCAGAGGGCACTTACACAATCGACTGTGAGTTTGGTGGCATCCACCCACAGTATGTGTACGGGGCTGGTAAATCACACAGCTCACATTTGAGCTCTCCTGATGTCTGAACTTCTTTGTGAGCATCCATTTTTAAGCTACCTGCAAGAAACACATACACAAAAAAATCTTTTATCTTCAAAACACAATGCTGGAAACATATCTGCAAGAAGATTAAAGTGACCTGAGACATCTGGCTTTGCAAATTAAAACCCAGCAGAAAACTGACAGTTGCAAACCTTGATTAGTAAATATTTTCTCCCAAATCAAATCAGTTTCCCATGTCCCAGTTAAACTTTCAAATTCCTTAAGCAGGTATATAAACCACAGACTGGGATCCTGACTATAAAGTTCACCTATTAATTTGGAACATCCATGAAATAACTCAAGTGACAAAGCACATGGCTGAGATCTCAAAAACCCTGTGTTCAACTGAGGTCTATACTCCCTAAGTGCTTCCCAGGACACTGTTCCCTATTTGCTCCTGTGCAGAATTCCAATCCAGTTCTGCAATGCCCATCTCCTCCCTCAAATTGGAGCCATTAAAGGGTTTGGGACCCCACTCAGGAGGCAGGTACCAGGAAAGTAAGTATTGCAATGAAAAGACTGTGTCTTTTTCTTTGCTTCTGGTTCACCTTGAAATAGAGTTTTGGAAGCTTATCCCTGGCTACCTGCTCCCATCTAGCTTTCTATGGAAATGAGGCCAATGGAATCACCCTATAACTTGATGAAGTGTTGGCCCATTCCAGCCACATGGGACAAAGGAGCAGACACCTTTAAAAAAGCTTAGGTACCATAACTTTTGTTAAGACAGGCAGAATGGGAAGACTGCTTTATCCTCCTGGAGAATACCCATATATTTCTATAAATAGGAGAATCTGCACTTAGGAAAGTTACTGTCCATCCTTCTGACAGACTTCAGGCCTCACTACAAAGGTGTGGTCATCAGCCCCAAGACATAACACGTAAGAAGTCATGCTCCATCAGCTTTGGTGCTAACAGATTACTTGTTTAAAATCCTGACCATTGCTTTACATTTGGGGAGCTTACTCTTCACTAATACCACTAGTATTAGTTGAGAGTCACACCCTCAGCTTTTTCCAAAAGTATGGTGTGGTAAGTAGGCTTTTACGATTGATTTTAGTCCATCAACAATCCTATCAAGCACAGCTAACCATGTGCATGCCCAAAAATTGCACCAATCCGTGAAAGAAAGGTGGTTGCTTTTTTTCAAACTGGGTATCTTTGTTCACCTGCATCATTTTCTTGTACAGACAATTCATGTTGTAATTATCAAGAAAAGTACAGCTTTTAGCTAAAAACCCTCGTGCTTTTCATGGTGTGAAAAGTGTGCAACAGTGTTCTGCTGCAAACCAGTCAGCTTTTGGAAGAGAAACAGGGCTGGCATCATGTCACTAAAGGACACAAAATGATTCACACAAACACTTTTCAGCATTAGAACAGGAAAGAACCAATAACCTTTATTCTTTGACTCCAATACGTATAGATTCTCAACAATGACCAGGGATTGGATAATCAAGTTCACACTTTCCCAATCGGACTGGTCATGTGAAATGTCCATCAAAAGATGTTTCTTTGAGAAGAAATGTGATAAACAACTTATGTTTATAGAACTTTCATGGGAAAGTAACTAAAACTATGAAAACATTATCAGAAGGCTTTCATTTTCAGGGCGACATCATGAGGCTATGAAGAGGTGAGCACCAGAAACCTGGGTGTGGGTGGTATTTCAGCAGGTAGGTTGTGTGTGCTCCCAGCTGAGCACATCCACAGCCTGCCAAAGGACAGCAGGGCATTACTACTCTTCCAGCTCTGAGCCCTCTTTCCCTGCAGACCTGATTCAGTACACTAAGGCTCCATCCCTATTCATGCTTCAGCTCAGAGGTTTCCTTTAGGAACAAATTGCCTGACTGCACCTCCTTACCACACAGGTTTGCACCACAGAACAGTTTCACAGCACACAAACCAGAGGGTTTCAGAAGAAATAGACCAAAAGATGTGCTCCAGAAGCACACCCAGAAGCACCTAACACACCCCAACCTGAATGTCCAGCTGGTGGCCATGCAACCTACAGACTGGCACCAGAGGTGATCTAAAACATCCCAAAACACAGAGAATGGGCAGTTTGTATCCAACACCTAAAACCTTGGTCCATGGTTTCAGTCTTGCTAAATCACACTAGTTACTAATGCAGTAACAAAAAAATACTTCCTAATCTTCTTCCAATTTTTTTTTCCTTATTGCTTTTAAGGAACTAAATTGGCTTGTAGAGGAATCCAACAGCTGCCAACAGTATAACAAGGTAAGAGGCAGAACTGCAGCACTAGCAGAAAGCAGGGCTGAGATGAGGGACCTTCACATCCCTCTTTTGGAGACAGTAAGCTGCTATTTCTGCTTGCCCAACAGAGTGAAACTGAATCCTCAGAGACATCTGCTGACAAGGTAAACTAGGGGCAAGGTGAAGCAGAGCTGGGACTACTTGTCATCTAGTGTTCCAGAAGAACAGGGAGATCCTAAGAGACTACAGAGGCTTCATGACAGACACCATGTTCAGAAAGCCCTAGACTGTTAAACTAAAACTTAATTTTGGAAATAATCTCCCTTACCTCATCACTTCTTTACCACCAGCCTTTCCACTGTCATTCCTGGCTTTTCAGTAGCACAGTAGCTTCAGATGTAACACAAATGGAACACTGGATTAATAAATAAATTCACCTGGAGAACACCTTAGGAAACTATATTTCTTCATAAATGATATGACCCTTGGATATGATGTGTTTTCCCTACCTCACAGGGATGATTGAGAGCATTTAATTAATTCAAGTGCTTTCAGATTTGTCAGTTAGTTGCAAGTACATGCTACCCATTTCTCCCTGTATATTTCTCCCCCTGTATATTGTAATTTGGATTCTCCAAGCTATGCACTAACTCAGCTAAGAAGTCTACATTTTGAACTTCGCATTTTAGGATTACCAGCTAGGTCCCCCTGACATACGTAACTACCTTTTCTGCAGGCACCCAGCATCCATAGCAACACACTCAGTTGACTGAATGAGATTCAGATCAACACTTGTTTGCAATTTTTTGTAATCAGTCCTCCTTAGAAAGGAGAATTCATTAACCCCAAAGAAGTAGCGTATGGAAAGTCACTTGAATCAAATACAGAAGACTATAATGGTGACTTTTTCTTTGAAGTAGTGCAAAACACCAAGAACCACAACAACAAAAAAGAAGTATTTATGGCAGTGAGGGTCATAGACTTTGGAATGAATATGTCCTGATCCCAAGTTAAAATAACAGCCCTGGGTTCAGAGCTGAAGTACGTTAGATATAGAAACACCTGCTATCTCACAGACCATCGGCATGTAGAACAGAATCTGTTCAATGCCTGCCACTGGGAAGGAATGATATCTATGTACAAACACATTTTTGGCTACGCCAGTTGAAAAGCATATGATCCTGCCTGCAAGGCACAAATGAATTTATGATGCTTTCCATCTAACTCCCAGCTTACAAGTTACTGATAGCAGCTGCACCAATTTTTATTTCACTGGGAACATCATTTGTCCAGAGAGCTTGTCACATCAGCACTTGGGAAAGTTAAGGTCCCTAACTAAAGGTGTGAGGTCAATGAATGCACAGATGTCAGAGTGAATGCTCCCATTCAGAAGTAACATTTGCTATATAACAAAGTAAAGCCATTTCCTTCTGAAGAAAGATATTTAGTGGCAAGCTTATGCATGTGCTTCACACCTTTAGCCTAAACTGCCAAGCAGGCAAATCCCAAGATGCTCTTTCTCACAGAGTCCAAAAAGTACATTTATTTTGAATACTCATGTTTTTGTCATAAACACAGCTGAGCCAGACACTGGTTTATCACACTGGTCAGCTCATTGGTTTGCCACTACACACTATCTTAGCAGGATGTGACAGTGTGACAGGTATCTGTCTGCCCTCCAGACACAGGAAGGAGAGTGAGAATACATTTTTCTCTACCAAACCAGCAGCAGGAAAAAGGATGTCTTGAGGAGAAAGTCTAGGGCACTAATCCCTTCTTAATAATGGCAGGTAAATTTGTGACCACAGATTTGGGAGCTGCCCAAATCATCACCAGCTGCTACCACTGTTTTGTCTTTTTACCTTGGAATGTTCTGAAGCAGCACCATGTCCCAGTAACATGTCACAAGTCTGGCTGGCTGACACATGCTGAACAGATTTTTGACAACAGCTTGTCTAGAACTGAATTCTGCCCAAGCATTTTCCACTCTGACTGGAAGCCACAAGGTACTTGAACACATCCTTACTTGATGCACATGCCCAGCTCTTCTGGAAAGAATACAGTTAATCATATGTTTGTGTAACCACTGAACTAACATGCTCCACAGGAGGAACAAGCTCCAGGATGTGTGTGAGGTTGGCTCGTGTCCTGGCAAAAGGTGAAGCACACAAATTTCAGTGCCATAGTAAGGAAAGAACTGAAATAAAAGAAAGGCATGGGTTAGGTACTGCTGAAAGAGTGTTTCTCCGTGCTGTCTGCAAGTGATACCTGATACAGACATGGGGAAATGGCTCTCAGTCCAGTTCTGTGGAGACTTCTAAAGACTTCAGGGCAATTCTGCTCAGAGCACTCTGCTAAGAGGCCTGGAAGGCATGCCAGAAATCATAAATCACCCTTAAATTGTCAGGGTCAGTGGCAAAGTAGTAGCATAGATAAGTAATCTGATTTTCTTTCCTTCAAACCTCATTAGCACAAGTATTTACAATGCATAGGTTAAGCCCCCTCTAAATACTCCACAGAAGACTCCTGTATTTCTGAGTCACTGATAAACTAGAGAAACCATACAAGAAACAAAGTGCCTATAAACAGATGTAGATTTTGATTTGAAAGGCTGTCAGATAAAACCAACATTGACACACCCCTAATCCTCTCCTACAAAACCCTTGTTTCTTTTACCTGCCAGGATTTTCCTGCAGTATCCACTGTTGATGACAAAAATCTATTAAAATATTCACAGCTCAATTTTTTACAGGTAGTAATGCTCTATACTAGAATAGGAGTTCATACCCTGGCATGTACCAGT